GGCTTCCCTTTTTACCCTACTGGAGAAGTTTTTGGATGTGCATAGGGATTTGAGTCTTAGAAGGTCCCATTCATCTATGTTATCTTCTCCTGGTTGTACCTTTTCCAAGCTTATTTGAAGAACCGTGACTTCACAAGTCACTCAGTCACATGAAGGGGCAAAATGAAGTTACTCTAGACTTCATTCTCCTCTTTTCAACTGATCATGAGAAAGCTGCTTATTCTATCATTTAATGTTTTTAGGGTTCATCAGTATTTGCCCATAAGAATGGGCACTAATCTATTTCATGCCTATGTCTAAACTATTGCACCTGTTCCAACACTAGTCTCTTTGGCTCTAGTCTCTTCTTGCCAAAATCTTTCTACATCTTTGATCACAAAGATGATCAAGTCACTCCTCTTAAAATGCACTTATGGTTCCCCATCACCTACTACATAAAGTCCAAAATCATTGACAAATGTAAAAATCTTCCAAGATCCAATCATGTTTGACATTTCTAACATTAGATCCTGCCTTTATTCAACATACATTCTATGTTTCAAGATTACAAAGCAGCTTGCTGCTTTCTTAAGTTACCATGCACTCACAAATGCTAATAACAATAAATAGTCACTCAACCAAATTTGCACTGAGAGCTTATAAACTTCTCTACTGCCAATAGCTTCTCCAAGTATGTTTGTTGTGTACTGTAGAGACAGAACCAACTCATATGTGACCCTCCAGTAAGTTTTCAGAGGCAGTAATTGCATTAGGAGGACATTATCCAACCTTCTCCTTGGAGCAGCTGGTGGCCTCGAACCGCATGCCTTTGGGATAGAGTACAGCTTCTTGCCACTAGTCTACTAAAGCTGCCTTTTATGGTGTCAATAAAAGTAAGCCCTAGTCAGACTTAGGGAGACCAAGTTTTACTATGAAAAGCTAAACCTCGGGTAAAATATAATTCCTCATGTTTCTCATGCAAACTCAGTCAAGAAAGAGTTAAAGAGTTCCACAGAATATCTCTGCATACAAGCCTCACTCACACCACTCCACTTGAGTCTCTGACTCTAAAGGCTGAGAAGCAAACAATAAATCCCTAGTCTTTTCTTATTAGTCCTCAAAGGCCCAGGATCTCTGTACCTGAACAACAAGAACCTTACATTAAAGACCCAGCAAGAGAAAAAGAAAGGTCATATTCCTACACATCTGCACACACTTCCACAACAAATCACACTCAACACACATTTAAAAATACACACTGACAAACTAAACACTTACGCATGTACACTTGAGTCCCCAGAATGACTTTAAACATTCCCCCCCCTTCTTTTAATTTTAATTGTGATTTTAATGATAGTTCACAGAAAAGTTGGTAGACCTCAGAGTTCAGTGCTTAGGAAAGACCTGGGGAAAAGACTTGGTTGTCCACTGAACTAGAGGGACAAAGATGTGGGGGGGGGGGGGTGATTAATCATGGGGTTGTACAATTTGATGGGTGCTGGGTAAGGGAAATTGGAAGAGTCTGGTCTAGAAAACAATGCATTCTAATTTTGTAAATAAACTAGTATAGTTTAAAAAAAAGAGTGAGAAAGAGATGACTATTTTGAAAACCTTATAGAGTATGGTTCTACTTTGACACATATGGATTTTCTCTAAGTCTGAACTGTTCTTTTATAAAACAGAAAACCAAAAACAAACAAACAAAAAAACACAGGTACATCGAAAAACCTATGTACTTATGATTTTAAAAAAGAGCAGTGAATTCAGACTCAGAGCAAATCAATATGTGTCAAAGTAGAACCATACTCTATAAAAGTTTTCAAAACAGTGATCTCTCAGCTGTGGACAAGCAGGCCTTTCCCTGAGGTCTGTCCTGAGTTCTGAACTCTAAAGCATCATCCCTAAGAAGTTGTGCTGCAAATCCAAAGGCAAAGCCTCTCTGGTGGGTTGAAGATGAGCAACTCCTCCCTTGCCATTTACAGCCTTGGAAATCCACTGAGGGTCAGCTATGAGGGCGAAGTGCTTCATGCATTGCTAAGAATGCATGAAGACTGGTGGTATAAAGGTTAATCATTTGGCTGATTACCAAAAAGCTGGCAATTGGAAACAGCCAGCATCTCCACAGGAGAAATGCCTACAGTGGCAGTTCCACTCTGCCATGTAGAGTCCTATGAGTTGAAAGTTACACTATGGCCCCCATTGTACAACGGCAGCATCGCGTCTTACTAGTTGAATTCTATATACCTTTTTGAGATTCCACAAAACAGTCATCCGCCCTAAAGAATCAACCATATGCCAACAGCAAATCTAAGAAATAATCTATCATGTTCCCAGAGTTCTTATTTAACTTTCTATTATAAGGTTACCCATGGCGGACAGTGTTTGGTAGGGCTCCCTGGTTAAAACAAGCTTGGAAGCAGGAGTGGCATCCACTTCCATAATAGCTTGCCTCTGGAAACCCTATGAACCTGGAGAAAGGATGAAAGTCACTCAAGGGTTGAGGACTTTCGTTCATAGGGTCGCTATGAGTTGCCTATGACTCGACAGCACTTAACAACACTTAACAACAACAACACTATAAGGCATACTACAAGCTATTTCAATTATGCGTATGTATCTCTGTTTTACTCAATTTATGCTCCTTAAGAAAAATGCTTTCTGTAACACCAAGCACATAGCAGGCCTGCATATTTAAGAGGGGAGAAATCAATGCATACAGACATAGGTGCAAACACACATTAGTGAACAGTGTAACGGGCTACAGAGATAGAAGGAAGAGCAGTTTCCTCCCGTGTGATTTACTGCCTCTGAAAACCCACCAGAGTGTCTGCTATAGGTTGGTTCTGACTCTACAGTACACGACAACAAGGGGCTAAAGAGGAAAGTGTAGGAAACATTTCTCAAGAAAGCGATCATAGACACTTTGCCTCTACTGCCTGTATTCCCATCATTCCGTAGGTCCTAGTCTTTGGGGTCCATACATAAAAGCACAGCTGACTCATCCTGGCTGGGAAACTGGTGACTGAAGGAGAAATAAAGATGGTTAGTGACTTTAGTCAAAAGAACCAACTCCCATTTCTCAGAGTGTCAAGTTAGAAGTAGAGAGAGAGTCTTGAGTGAATGACCCCATTTTGATGGTTCTGACTCCCTCTTGTCTGAGTCACAAGAGGTCAATTCCAGAATCTCTCCCCTATAAAGAATGGAGAAAAAAAATTTAAACCATAAATCTTCTAGTAGTTATTATTTAGAGAAATACCTTGTAAGCAAAACACAAAAGTACTAACCACAGACGAAATCTCAATAAACTGGACTTTATTAAAATTAAAAAGTCCCAAAGACACTATTAAGAGAGTAAAAAAGCAAAGCACAAACATACATCAACATACTCCACGTATGCACACCTACAGACCCTTGATCTCCATGAAGACTCACATGCTCAGTGTTGCAGCCAGTAACTTTCATTCCAGCACACAGGGCATTGGCGGCTCTCTCATTATTAAACACCCTGAACTGGACAAATCCTGCAACAAATTCACCTAGAAAAGAAGAAACATAAAAAAGACTGGAGTATTCAAAGGACTAGCACAGAGGTTAAAAAAAATTCAGACTACAGTCCTGCACTTTAGTCTGTGGGTTGAAGCCCTGCTCATCCGTGGACAAGGTTCAAAGGGAGCTTCTCCACCTCCAGAGACTGAAGAGGACAAAATCTGGGCCCCACAAGAATTTATGTATCCGCCAAAGGCTTAAGTGGTAAATTTAAAAGGAAAACTTTACAGACCATTACAAACAAAACAAAACAAAAAAGCCCTCAAAGGTGCAGTAGAAATAGATAGCTATCAAATATGGTCAATATGTTTCTTTCAAAACATTTCTCATCCAATTGTATCTCTTTGTTTCCCCTATAATTACTTGTTTTCAATGAGATAAGTGAATATGTAGTAATATCTGTGACTTTTCTATCAACAACTTTTCTTTCTTATATCCAAATGATGTCATCTTTTTAAAGATTAAGTAAAGTTGTCTTTCATATTTTTTTCTGATCACTTGAACATGCACCTTTTCTTAACTACCAAAAAGACAAATAAATAAACACTGCTATCCAGTAGATTCTGACTTATAACAGCCCTATTACAGAGTAGACTGACCCAAGAACACTGTGACACTGTTGAGTCAACTCCGAGAATGATTACCCATGGTGGACAGTGTTTGGTGAAGCTTCCAGAGTGAAACAATCTTGGAAGCAGGAGTGGCATCCACTTCCATAATAGCTTGTCTCTGGAAACCCTATGAACCTGGAGAGAGCATGAAATTTATACAGGAGGTGTCCAGGACTTTCATTCCCAGGGTCGCTATGAGTCACCCGCAACTCGACTGCACTTAAGAACAACATGAATCTTTACTCTTTACAGAAACAGACTGCCTCATCTTTCACCCTCGAGAAGCTGGTGAGTTTGAATCGCTGGCCTTTCAGGTTGTTGTTGTTTTTTGTTGTTGTTATGTGACATCAAGTTGTCCACTACTCATAGCGACCCTATAGCCAACAACTCTGAACCTTGCCCTATCCTGAGCCAGTTTCACTGATTCCAACACATTTAATCCCACTGCCCCAATAATCATGTCAATCCATCTTATCCTGGGCCTTCCTCTCCTGCACTGTCCCTCCCTCCTACCAAATATGAAGTACTTCTCAAGGATTACTCCCTCCTGGCCACGTGCTCAAAGTATGTTGAGATAAAGCTTCAAAATTATTGCCTCCAAGGAGAAACTTGGTTTCACCCTCGCCAGGACAGACCTATTTGTTCTCCTGGCAGTCCATGGTATGTTCAATACTCTTCTCCAGCACCATAACTCAAAGGTATCCATTCTTCTTCTGTCATCCTTAGTCATTGTCCAGCTCTCTGATGTCTAGAATGTAACTGTGAAGACCATGATCTGCATCAAGCGCACCTTAACTCTAGACTAACATCATTGCCCCACAGCACTCTGGAGAGATACCTGACAGAAGACCTCCCCAGTGCAATTCATCTTTTGATTTCCTGACTGCTGGTGCCAGGAGTGTTGATTGTGGAGCCAAGTAAACGGAAATTGTTAACAACCTCAACCTTTTCTCCACATTCCTCATGGTGCTGTGAATTGGCCCAGTGGTGAGAACCTTTGCCTTCTTGATGTTGAGCTTCAATCCATATTGAAGACTACAGTCTTTAACTTTCTGTAGCGAACACTTCAGGTCCTCCTCAGTTTCAGCAAGCAAGGTAGTATCATCTGCATAGTGCAAGTTGTTGACGAGTCTTCCTTCTAACCTCATGCCACACTCCTCCTCTAAAGTCCAGCCTCTCAAATGATCTGTTCCTGGTAACATTCAATATTTTAACTGCACTACTAGTATAAAATGGCATCTGAGGTGGTTAAAGATAGAGACTGTGAGGTTTATGCTAGAGTTTATATTCTAGCACTGCTGTTACATAACACGAGGCTACCAGGAAGTTCCTAAACTCTCAATGTTTGGCCTCTCAATCAATAAAACCAGACAATAGTCATCCTAACATCATAAATTTTTCAAGATGAATTAATGATACAAATTATCCCCTTTCCTAGGAAACTGGCTGATATCTTTTAAGTGCTCAGCACATGTTAGCAATTATTGTTCTTACTAGTTACCATTCCTTTCCTAAGAAGCCAAAGACAAATTGATAACTTAGCTTAGGGAGAAAATACTTACTCTGACCATATGGTGAGTAATAAGATGCTGTTTTCTTAGCATCACCAAAGTCATAGACCACAGGAATTGCGGGACCGTTGCCAGTCTGGCATGCCCCTAATCCATATTTCACTGGGTATTTCTGAAAAGACCCAAATTGAAGGTGGCATGAGCAGAACAGAACGCTGTCATAACAAATATGGAGGTCAGGTGGCTTGCTTCGAGGCAGCTATCATTATTCAAAAACTGGTCTTAATAAGAGTGACTCTTTTTATCACAGCTGTGGTTTTCTGCAATAACAAGGCACTTGTTTCCCGCCTTTCCCTCATCCTTCTCTCCCATAGGACTAACTCACAGTTCCTCAGAGAGAGGGGAGACACCAATGAATAGTGAGCTAGAGGCAGGAGAAACAGTCATATATAGGCACGTGGTAATGACACAGGACAATAGAAGGTAAAATCATTCCCCAACCAAAACATTTCAAACTCAGGTCACCAAATCAACCCACCCACCCAGAAGCCTGCATACCTGGTAGAGTCCAAACAGATTGTTTCCCAGACCAGAGAAGAAGCTACTGTTGGTGTGATACCTCAGCAGGGAACTATTCCTCCAATGTTGCAGTGGGGACTTGTTGGGGACATGCCAGATGCCCAAGTCCCCTGCCTGGATGTCATAATAGCCGGGGTTCTGGAGAACAAGAGGCATTAATATCAAGCAGCTAGGAGGTCACAGGAAGCAAAGGACCTAGTATACACAAAGGCTTCATCGCACTGACAGCCCAGGAATTCAGTGACCAGTTGGCAACAGTGCTCAGACATCTGCTTCCAGCACATGGTTACACTCTCCCTCCACTCAAGACCCGAAAATGTCATTTGGAGGAAACTGAGATTTAAGACACCTAAGTCTTTTCTTTCTCTTCAACCCAAGCTCCACATCCCAATCTCAATCTCCCAATCTTATCTTCTACACACGATGCTCCAGCCAAACCTATTCTCTCATCATTTCCCAAGTGAGTTGTGAGTGGCTCTAACCTTGTAGTCATCGCTCGTGGCTCCCTCTGCAGAACCAAAGGTGTTGTAATTGGCCCAGTTGCCGTCCCCTTCTGGGTAGTCTGCTCGGCTGCCCTGCTGACTGGACCAGCGATCACCCACTGTGCATTTTCCTTGCATGCTGTTCTCATGCACACTGGCCACCAGGGTCCAGCCACCACCCCCAGAGGTCATGTCACAGAAGGTCTGGTAGATGACACCATTCTCTGTACGCAGGAAATACAGGCCATCTGTGGAGAGAACCACCAGAAGAACTTCCATGTCAGAGAACACACAACCCATCTCAGACACCAGAATCAGGAAGTCTCTGGGAAAGTAAACATATACCAATAATGCTCCCTCCCACATATATTCACCTATTGGAAGATCATTCTCCTAAGATAACTGGCATTTCTTGTCATCTTATGACTGCCTTTGATCAACACTATTTATATAGATGTTTATATATCAAGCTTCCTTAAAGGACATAATGTCTTCCTCTGAATAGGGATCACTCTGGCTAGGAGAGGGCAGAAACCCTTTTCCAGTCTTCAGGTTATCACTGGAAACTTCTGTGCATCTCATAGCAAAGAGCAGGCATGGTTACATGCCCACCACTCTGGTAACCTTCCATATCCCTAAATAGGACACATAAGCAAGGGTAAGCCAGAGTTGACATGTTGTTGTTGTTGTTTATGTGACATCAAGTTGCCTGCAACTTATAGCGACCCTACGTACAACAGCCCTAAACTCTGCTCTGTCCTGTGCCAATCTTGCTGTCTCTGACACACCTACCCCATTACTCCAGTCATTGAATCAATCCGTCTCATTAAGGGTCTTCCTCTCTTGTGCTGTCTCTCTATCCTCCCAAGCATGACATTTCTCTCCTGCCTTGTAACATGTCCAAGGTATGTCAGACAAAACTTCAGAATTCTTGTCTCCAAGGAGCAGCCTGGTCTCACCCTCTCTAAGATGAATCTGTTTGTTCTTCTAATAGTTCATGGTATATTCAATACTCTTCTCCAGCATAAATTCTCCTTCTATCATCCTTAGTCACTGTCCAGCTCTCTGATATATGGCCTGTATCAAGTGCACCTTAGTCTCCAAACTGACATCATTGCTCTTCAGTACATTGGAGAGTTCTCTGACAGCAGACTTTCCCAATGTAATTTGTCTTCTAATTGCCTGGCTGCTAGTACCAAGAGTGTTGATTGTGGAGCCAAGCAAACTAAAGCTGTTAGTGATCTCTTCACCATCTATCATGATGCTGCCAAATGCCAGCATTTGCTGCCAGGTGGTAGTTAATTACATGAAATACACAATGTGGGAAGGATTATATGCAAATCAATTAGAAAATGGAAGTGGAGATATGCATTATATAAATAAATACTAGATATTGTAGATATAGAAAGGGTGCAATTCCACCTTGGCCAGTGTTAGATTGGAAATAAGAAAAGGGAAGATTTGTCCTGGAGATAAGTTTGTTAAATGTAGAATATGGTAGTGGGTGCTGGGGCTTAATCTAGGGGGAAGATTAAGTCCATCTAATACTCTGAGGAGATTTGACTTTTAATTTGAATTTTAATGGATTCACATTTGAAAGAAAGGCAAGCAGGAAGACAGAGAAAGAAAGGGGAAGGGGGAAGAAAGAGAGACTAATATTTTATAACTGTAACAAGTTGTTTGATTTGTGAGGCAGGGTAAAGTTTGTGCCCATCAAAGTCCACTTTCAGGACTTGACGTTAAATGGAGCTGTCAAGTATGCTCACTCATAAAGATCACTTGGACTCACCGGAGTGGAAGTAGGAAGCACAACAATAAATGAAGAGACAGGATCAACTTGGACCTGTTCCTTCACCGCTGTCCGCCTAGCACAGATAAAATCACAGCTGTATGAGTAATTGAAAAATGCTTGCTGGCTGGAGTCATAAGGACTCCTGGCTTACTGACTTGGCCCCATGTAGAGGCTAAGGCTGAGTGAAGGGACCAACCAGTCCGGAACACAGGGAGAAGTGTGAACTTCTGAGTTTGTGGCTGATGCCCATTTGGACCTAGCAATGGATGACTGGGGGTGAGTTGACCGGAACTCAACCAGGTGAAGAGAAGATGATTCGTACTGTGAACTAGTATTGATTAATACAACCTGATGGCTTGCTCTAGACTGGACTTCACTTGTGAATACAGATACTCAAAGTTTCCAATCTGAACAGAATATTCTTCAGTAAAAGGGATATTCTTGTTCCCTCAGAGTACTGATTTGGTAGGTATGGGAAAATCAGAAATTGGTTACCTAAAAAGGGGATATTAAGGTATGAGGCATGAAGTAGCTCATTTAAATGCTTTTGTGAATATAATTATTAGTAAGATGATTGTAAGGGGGGGACCCTCCAATTCACAATGTAAATGAAAGATTGTATAAAACACAATTTACATGCATGAAATGCAATGTATATGAATGATTGTATGCAAATCAATTTAAAAAAGAATTGAAGAAGATAATATTTTGCTGAGCTTGACTTTGTTGTCCAGCTGAGTTGTTGTTGCTAAATGCCATTAAGTCAACTATGATTCATAGTGACACCGTGAACTGATCTGAACTTTACCCAATCCTGTGCCATCCTGCCAATCACTCAAGTCCATTATTGCAGTTACTGTACCAATTTATAATGATGAATATCTTCCTCTCTTTCTCTGACCCTCCACCTTTCCCAGCATGTCCTTTTCCAAGGACTTACCCCTTCTGACAACATGACCGAAGTTTGTGAGATGAAGTTTCACCTTCCCTGCCTCCAAGGAGCGCCCTGATTGCACTTCCTCCAAGAAAGACTTGTTTGCTCTCTTGGCAGTCCAGGGGATATTTAGTACTCTTCTCCAGCACCATAACTCAAAGGCATCCATTCTTTTTCTGTCATCCATATTTACTGCCCAACTTTCATAAGCGTTGTTGTTGTTGAGTGTCATTGAGGCAGAACTTACCCATAGCTGACACTCCAGTGGGTTTTCAGAAGCAATAAATTGAATGAGAGGAGCAGCTGGTGGATTCAAACTGCATGCCTTTGAGAATGCAGCACAGTTTCTTCTTTCTTTTTTTTTCTTTTTATTAATGTTAATGAAAGTTTACAGAGACTTAAGGTTTCCATTCATTCATTGTTGCACTTTTCTCCCTACCTCCCTCCTTCCCCCAATTCACTCTTCTTGAAAAGTAAAATAAAAACTCTTTTATTGTTATGCAATTCCTCCCCCAAAGTCCACTCTGTGCAGCCTTCATTCTGTAATCCTGTCATAAATACCCAATCAGTTCCTCCCAAACAGTTCTCTCCCTCATCTATTTCAACGGAGTATATATCATTCCTCCTCTCCTTCTCTGTCTTCTCTCAACCTGGATGTCAGTCCCGTTTTAAACAGTGGCCCTATGCAATATTTGTCCTTTTGTGACTGAGATATTTCACTCAGCATAATGTCCTCCAGGGTCATACATTTTGCATAATATTTCATGATTTCCTTGTTTTTCAATGCTGCATAGTATTCCATTGTGCGAATATACAAGAGCTTCTCTGTTTGTAGATGAGCACTTAAGTTGTTTCCAGCTCTTTACTATTGCAAACAATGCCACAATAAACATGAGCGTGCATATATCTGCTTGGGTGGTGGTTGTTGTTTTGTTAGGGTAAATTCCCAGTAGCGGAATTGCTGGATCAATTGGTATTTCGGTTTGCAACGTTTTGAGAAAGCGCTATACAGCTTTCTATAGTGATTGCACCATTTTACATGCCCACCAACAGTGAATGAGAGTTCCAGTTTCTCCACAACCTCGCCAGCATATGACGTTGGCTATTCTGTTAAATTTTGCTATTCTGACTGGTGTGAGATGATATCTCATAGTTGTTTTGATTTGCATCTCTCTTAGATCTAGGGATTTTTAATTTCTTCATGTGCTTGTTAGCCATCTGAATGTCTTCTTTGGTGAAGTGTCTGTTCAAATCCTGTGCCCACTTTTCAATTTAGTTGTTCACCTCTATCTTGTTTGTGGTGCCCATGCATTTTATAAATTCTAGATATAAGTTCCTTGTCTGACATGTCATTACCAAATATTTTTTTCCCAGTCTGTGGCTTCCCTTTTAACCCTGTTGGAGAAGGTTTTGGATGTGCATAGGTATTTGATTCTTAGAAGGTCCCATTTATCTATTTTATCTTCTCCTGCTTGTAAACCTCCCTCATTAGCATAGAAAGTAGTTGAAAAGGTCATGACTTGGATCAGGTACACTTTGGTCTTTAAAATGAAGACCTTGCTCTTTAGCTTTTTGGAGAGGTCATTGACAGCAAATGTTCCTAATCCAGCACATCTTTTGTTTTCTTGACTGCTGCTGCCACAGGTGTTCATTGTGGATCCAAGCAAAATGAAATCATTGACATTGCAGTCTTTCCTTTATACATGATGTCTGTTGATGAAGTGGTAAGAATTTTTTTCTCTGATTTTGAGATATATTCCATATTAAAGGCTATATAGTCTTTGCTCTTCTGCAGCAAGTGCTTCAAGTCATCTTAACTTCACAAGCAAGATGTTTCATCTGCATAATGTAGGTTGCTGATGAATCTTCCTCTAATCTTGTTCTTCATGTTGATCAGTTTCTCAGTATTTGCTCAGCATACAGATTGAATAGATATGGAGAAAGGATACAAACTTGATGCTAATATATGTGAGTAATAAAGCAAACATTTAACGGGCTTGATGTTTCATTACTGACCAAACTTTTCACTCTGCTTGACAAAACCATTACCTGTGCAAATGCACTTGGCCCTCTTTGTATCACACTACAAGTGTTGAGACTCAGAGATTAATAAGAGAAATACCAATACTCAGGCTACTGCTGGTGCTATAAATCATAAAATTCTTTGTCTCTGATTTAAGAGTTTCATGTTTCCTGACAGTATATATTAAAGTGTATTAAGTTAACTAACCATTGACTTACAAGAAAAGTAAAACCTCAGACCTTTCACAGTTCTTTGTACCACCTCCCCAGCGCTTGAAATATTGCAGTCTACCTGGCATCCACTTCCAAAACAGCTTGCCTCCAGAAAGTCTATGAACGTAGAGAAACAATGAAAGTTATGCAAGTGTTCAGGTCTTTCATTCATAGGGTCGCTATGAGTCGTCTATGACTCAACAGCACTTAACAACAGCAACTACCTGTGTCATGAAGCTCATGTCTGATGGAAGTGGAGTGAAATAGAAGACTGTCAAAATTTCCACTCGAAACCAACTTGAGTGGCAGCCGCGGTCTGACAGTGTACTGAGTATCTATCTGCAAATTTCCATAACTGGATTCTCTTTGGCTATAAAGTTATTTCCAGGAGAGAGTGCTAGGATTGTTTCTTTACTCACCAGGTGCTTTATGGCAGCTCTCTTTGATTTCCTTGCAGCTTCTAGGCATGGAACGGAGGGAAGAACTAGTGAAGGGGTTGCCCTCTAAAATCTTAAGAGGATTGGTCCCTGCAACGGTACAATATCTCTCATTAATGATCTGGAGCTACTGAAAATGTCTTTCTTCACCACCTCCCAGCTCCTGCTCACTGCAACGCTTCCTCACTGCTTGTGATGTCAGATCTCCAAGACAGATTCTCTCTGCTAAGATGGACACAAGATCTACTACTGAATTAACACTTGAGTACTTCCCTCAATTACTTTAATGCCTGTTATGAATGTCTCATAAACACTGGGCATTCAAAGACAGTTTAACCCATTTACTTACGGGATCATACTCTATAGGCAAGTGTTCAAACAAAAGGCACCCACTTGAGAATGCCTGGGACAGGGACCTTTTTAGGGAAAAGTTGTTGTTATTGTTGTTATATGCCATTGAGTCAGAACTCTCTCACAGCTGACTCTCTAGCAGGTTTTCAGTAATTTTCATGAGAGTAAATTACCCATCTTTCTTTCTCCTACGAAGGAGCTGGTAGAATCAAATCAGGTGCCTTTGAGTTGATAGTGCAGCCTTTTCCTACTAAGCACCAGAGCTCCTTTAAGAGAAAAGAGAGAATGTAATTTAGAGAAGATTGATTCTCATAGGGTGAATAAGAGTTGGGTATAACAGAAGGAAAGGGAATCAACACTCCAGAAAGAAGGGTTGGGATGATTAGCATGTTAAAATGTCTTGAAGAGATACAAAAGAAGGATCCAGCATGCAGAAAAACTACAGTCCTCATTTTCCATGATGAAAACCAAACGTGAGAAATTAGCTGAGTTGGAAGTATTACTTATTGTGCTGTTAATGGAAAGATTAATAGTTCAAATCCACCAGTTGCTCTGCAGAAGTGAGATGGGAGGTCACCTCCTAAAAAGACTGGGAAACTAGACTATTTGTGTGAGTCCAAACTGACCCAATAGCATTGGATTTGGGGCATTATTTTAGTGGTAAAAGGCCTTCTATAACGGTCTAAAAGCCTAGAGATTATTCTGAAAGCCTTGATGAGTGAAGTGGAGGTGCAAGGGGGATGCTAAGCTTTGATTTAAAAGTCTTGGGGAAAATCCTAGACAATTTACGGCATCAAAGCTCTTTGGAGCAAACACTTAACGTCTCTGATAATCTCCTTTCATCATCTCCCAAATTTCACTAGTAAACTCCTCTAACCCCTGGAGAGCTCTAGTAGTGTGGTCCAGAAGGAACTGCGATGCTAACCCCAAAGCTGGTGAATCTACCAGTAGTTCTGCAGGAGAAAGATAGACAAGCTCCTTCTGTGTCATTTATAGCACCTGAAACTCCACTAGAGGGTGGACTATGAGTTGGTTCTGATTTGCATTTTTTTCCCAATTGAACACTTGGTAATCAAATCAGAGGATATATGTGAATGTGCTTTTTAACTAATTAATTAACTAATAGAACACAGCAACAATGAAAACTGACAATTTGTCGTGAGTCTGAGGCCTAGTGGAAGATGTTCCCTTATGCACCACTGACCATCCAGCTACTTTTGAAGAACCAGAGACCAAGGTCAGAGGAGTAGCAATAACTGGGGAGAAACACAATCCTTGAATTTCTTCACGAACACACAGAAGCACATATGTAGGTCCAAGACATGCCTCAGCCAATACCCTAACTGCCTGAGTCTGGACCCCAGGTGAGACCTCAGAGCAGCACCTACCTAGCCAGTGTCTACTACTGACTGCTGCTACTGACTAGCTGACAATGTCTGCTATCAATGATGACTGTGCATGCGTTACCGTGATTTCACCTCTGATCCATAGTACATAGCTGCACAAACCTGCTTTGTTTCCTCCACTCCCCTGAATATCAGACAGCTAAAGGAATCAATGTTCCTAAGAGATATTTACCTGCACTGCATCTTCTAGTGACCACTGAGAGGAACAGCAGAAAGAAGAGTCGCGTCATTGTTCTCTAAGGGAAAACAAAATGTGTATCAATTAAATCTTTTTTTCTTACTCTCCCCTTTAATCCCTGTGCTTTCTGAATTAAGTAACCCAAAATGGAAAAATGGTGTTCTGCACTTCCTAGAAGCACCCAAAAGTCTATATTTCTTTCTAGACAAAAACCACATGGCCCATGGAATTCTTCACATAAAATACCAAATCTCTGAAACTAAAACCATACCTGAGCTGGTATCAGAGTTTCCTCCATACACAGACCTTTTTTTTACACTCAGAAACCTCTTCTTCACCACGAGAGAAAGTTCTCTCCTTCTATGTCACAAATGCCAGAGCTGAGAATTCCCAGTCATATATGCAGGACACTCAGAGCTTCTCCTGAAGAGGTTTTGACGAGAGGTCAAGTGCTGAGTGTTTTCTAGAGAAGCTAAATTATACAAACCCAGCCCACCTAGGCTCACTCCACCTTTCCATGCCTTCTCTAGCCCAGACCACATGCCCCACCCTCTGACTTCTTTCCCTTTCAGGTTCACTAAGATTGTGAGGATAGGGCAGGGTTTCTAATCTACTGTTCAAAGAGTCTCACTGAGTCTTAAATGACTCACTGGCATCTAAAAAAAGTTTGAAAAAGGATATGCAAGTGACTCAAGAAGCTGGGTGCTGTGGTGTTGATCACACAGGTGACACACATCAATTGAGAGAAAAGGAATCTTGCTTCATGAAGATGTGTTTCATGTGTCAGTAGAATAGGCAGTCACTTTCAGTGTTAAACAATCAGACTCTAGAATATATCAATCAGATTTTACAAATACTTGCCTGAGTCCCAGGACACTCTACCCCATGATCAGATGCTCTAGGAACCCAACACATCATCCTAAATAAATTTCTGTCAAAATTCTATTTAAGGAATTTCTCTTTAAACTCCTCTGTGAAGGCTTCCTGATTAATATTTCATCCCAGTATTTAAAAAAAAAAAGATGCAAAGGCCATGCCTGTTCTCTACTAATTATTCCACGAAGAGGAGCTGTCTCCATCATCAGCATCCACAGTACAAAACCAATTCTCATGCCTATTTCCACTTATTCTAACAGCAATCCTTCTGCTCTATTGAGTCCAAAATCCGTTTAAAAGCTATAGAGATCTCACAGAAACATACAATTATGGGGTTTAAGAGGGAAATTGGTAGTTTACAACTCAGGTTGGGAACAGGGATACAATTTCTCAGGGCAGTTTCTGAAGCATGCTCGCTGGTCCTTCAGACTAGACTTGCTGTTTGGGGCCAGTGTTACAAATCAAGGCATCTCTCCACTCCACTAGGCCTGCAGCAAGTGTGGGTCAAGATCACTAGATTTAGCTCTGTGGAGCAGCAATCCCAGTTCAGCTCTATCTCATGTGGGATCTCTGGTTCCCTCCTGTGGCTGATGCTGATATGCTGTAGACCCTCCTTGACTGGTGCAAGAACTTCTGACTGGAAGAACGCGTTGCATCCTCTCCTTCCTCTTCTTTGCTTGTGGTGAGATTCCCAAATTTCTACCACGGATCTTCCTCAATTTAAACCCAGGGAAATGGTGAAATTAGTCAAACCCTCACTGGATAGCCTAACATATTCTAGTTGCATGTTCTTGTCCAGTCGGTGGCAAAACCAATGGCAATGACCAATTTCAATTGGCAAAGCCAATTTCAACAATAGACTTCTACACAGTACAAATCTAGTGGTGTCCTCCTCTGTTCAAACACCAATTATTGCATGTGTCTAGGGAGTTCTGCTGGTTTAGTGGTAAAATTCTGTGCTGTAATCTCAAAGGCATGCAGTCTGAACCCACCAGCTTCTCTGTGGGAGAAGAATGGGCAATCTCTACCTTTGCGTTTATCTGCTTCTGCAAACCTGATAGAGGATCAGGTATGGGTCAGTTCTGACTCAATGACACACAATAACAACAACACTGTAATGTGATTACTTAGTTAATTTTTTGTTTAGAAATTATTGAAAATATTACATATAGAAAATAGTACACAGTCTCCAGTAATTTGATAGCAAAAGAAATTAATATTTCACTAATACATGAATTTTTAATGTGGCTCCTTTCAAATTTTGAAATATACTGAAAATACTTACTATTTCCAGCAATAGAAAAAAATATTTTGCTCACAACAAGAAATAAAATACAGATTAGTTAATGTATTAATTGCAAAGATAGTATTAAAATTAACACTACGCAGGACAGAAATTCATTCTTAAAGTCCACTCAGGTTTAAACTTTGAGATATTTAAATGCTGATCCGAGGCTCAAAGATATTTGTAAAGTCATGCCCCTGCGTTTTGAAAGTCTTTAGCTAATTTAAGATTGCAGAATGATACAGACAAGATTTATTCAATGTGATTTTATATTGTTGTTGTTGTCAATTGCTTCTAAGTCTGGTATGACTCATAGTGACCCTATGAACAAAAGGTCTGAAGCCCCTCTAAAGCTATCGACAGTTATCAAAGTTCGTAGAGTTTTTGGAGGCATATTATTTAGGAAGTGGATGCCACTCCTGCTTCCAAACCTGTCATTGTATGTTATTGTTGTTATGTCCCGTTGAGTCCCCTGCAGTACATAGCAATCCTTTGTACAGCAGCTCTGAACCCTTCCCTGTCCTGAGCCAGTCTCACTAATTCTGATACACCAAACACCATTGCCGCAGTCACTATATCAATCCATCTCATCTGGAGCCTTCCTCTCCTATACTGTCTGTCCACCCTTCTGAGCATAATGTCCTTCTACAAGGACCAATCTCTCCTGGCCACGTGCTCAAAGTAAGTGAGGCAGAGCTTCAAAATCCTAGCCTCCAAGGAGAGTCCTGGTTTCACCCTCTTCAAGACAGACTTATTTGTTTTCTTAACAGGCCATGGTATTTTCAAAACTCTTCTCCAGTACCACAGTTCAAAGGCATCAATTTT